TTTTGAATCGAAGTTACTTTATATTTATAATTTAAAGTAGTGATCAACGATTACTTAAGGTACCTATATTTGAGGGGGGTAATTTTTTTGTTTGCTTTGAGGGGGCTAAACTGCCTTAAGCCCCTCTCAATTTCCATCTATATGTTTCAATTGCCATCATAATATGCTATATAAAAAGTAAAATAATATTATTTGGATACCTAATAAAATTTAATTCAAAATATCATCATTTTTTTTTTTTTAATTCTTTACATAATTTTCATTTTTTCTATCGAATGGCTGAGACTTTTATTTAAATTGTATTACAGAATATTCCATTCAGTTAGTTTATTTAATTTTCTTAACTGGGGCGCTAAATACCTAAATATACGTTTCTATATCAGCATCGCCATTACGACTCTCATGGTTATTAATAAAAAAGTAAAAAGTACTAATTATAAATTTAACGATATGTCAAATATTTACAGTCAATTTAAATAGAAGTCAATTAAAATATTTACAGATATTTAATGTAGGTATTAGTTWTTAAGCAAGACAGAATGATGATTATAGTTAGACATAGGTAGTTATAATTATTATTTGTGCTCAGTAAAGATTTAAAGTCAAATATATAAAGGTAGGTAGGTATAGATACCTACTTGGCTACTTGTATACAATGTATTGTTAATAAACATATGTAGGTACCCATGTCCCGCTATACTGTAAATACTAAATAGGTAGGTAGATATCCACTTAATTTAGTATGTTATAGTTAAATATTACGTTAGCATTCATACGACGTATCAAATAGTATCCATCTGTGTTACCTGTAAGCACGGTTATCTTATATCTATATAGAAATTAATACTTATATTTTAACGAGGTACAGGTTACATAATCTTCATCACTCGTTAATTACCAACCTATAATACTAATGGTTGGCCAGTTACGATGTACAGTGTCTATTATATATACAGACTATGTACATGTCATAATATAATATCAACTAATTCGGCAGTTTACCGAATAATCAACGATCATTGTTCATTAATCATTATATTATACAATCATTTCTGAATAGAGCGAATACTATCGCTCATTAAATAAAATTCTATCTAGTATAAGGTTGTAGTATGGTCTTGGATAGTTGGGTGAGTGGGTGACGGGTACCTGCAGTACCCGTAAGCTCCAAAATGAGATGAGAAAAAAAAAGTCGTATCGTACAAAAGCATTAAAATCGTATCATACATAAGCTTCAAAATTCTAGGTACCTGAGTGCCACGTGAATTTAGAATTAGAATTAGAATTAACAGATTTATTAAATTTATATTGATTGGCATGTATATTATAATTTAACAATTTATTATTGAACATTTTTTTAATATAATATAATTTTTATGAGATAGCAATTTTTAAATAACTACTTATTTAAAATATTAATTTTGGACGAATGATATGTCATTTTTTGTACCTCTGGCAATTATGTCATATAATATAGCCCTTACAGTTTTACCAATCATCTACAATAACTGTATATAAGTCACTCCCCCCCCCCCTTGGCTACATCATTGCTATTTATAAAGTTAGGAGCTTTAGAGCTTAGCACTTTGGTAGGTTATAGATATAAAACAAATTGACAACACGAATTGATGTGTTTCTATGTGAGAAAATTATTGGTTTGATTGTCGACTACACTCGTCATAATGATCCTAATAGAATGACATTAGTGTAGAAAGTCAACTGATATAATAATATGCTATAATTTAACTCATCTAAGAAGTCGTTAGTCAAAARATTGTTTGAGATAATCTGCCTGTATGATTATAATATAATATTATCTTGTGCRTCATTTGTCTGGCGTATCCTGGGTAGGCGTACACGGGTACACCTGAAGTCCTGAGGCTACATAAATACATCACTGTAACAAATCATTAAGTACTTATATCGTCTATCATAAATCCAGCCACACTCTCGAACATCTCAAAATGACACGTCGACGTCACCGTTTGGTAAAATACCAACATTTGATTAGAGGTGTACCATAAGCAGTTTATTTTATTGTAATTTGTAGGAATAATATTGTTAGCGATTGACGTGCCATATTATACGTTTATTATGTCTGATCTAACACTGAAGAGTGAATACAAGAAAACAGTTAAAGAAAACTCAAATTTTCCCAACTCAGGYGGGWCAATTTATAATTATTTTTTTAAAACAGAAATAAAACCAATACCAGAATCTGTGTGGACTCTGGACAGGCTGATAACCCTCGAAATAATATTACATATTGTAATATAATACCATTTATCAAACTATAATAATTACGTATGGTTGGGGAACTCATCTTAAKTAGAAATACTAGAAATTGTGTTTACATTGTCATAAATACCTACAGCGTTAAGACAAAATATAGGAGGTTTGTATTTGGACCTAACCTAACCTAACCTAACCTAACCTATGTGTTCAGGTGACCTTTTAGATTCTGAGCGGAGCGATGAATGTATTGATTTTACCATG